GTTAGGTTTAGGTTTAGGTTTAGGTTTAGGTTTAGGGTACTAAGTACTTGGGAATGCGCGATTTTGCCCTCCACGATTATGTCATCGTGGTAGGGTCGCGTTTTTCCTTAGCGCTTAGAACGGCGCGAATTAGTCTTCGTGCTTATGTCTCCGCGCAGAAGGGTTTCGCGGATTTGTGGAGGAACCCTATCCAGCTATCCTATCCTTCTGGATTGGCTCTGATGTATAGGAATGGAGGAGGGGGGCACCATTCTTTGGTGGCTTTCCTGTTTCCTAAAAGGTCATCTTCAGGTTGGCGCTTGGAGTAGAAGAGAGATCTGGCTGGAAACCTCTGATCTCTGGGGTGCCCCTATTCCCACCATTCTTTCAAAGCTACACAAAACTGCACGCAGGACTCACTTATTGAGATGCAATCAAGTATCATCTGTATCACCTCTTAACAGGGTTATATTCATTCCCTAGTCAGAATTGGTCTACTACTAAGGGATCTCTTGGAGCAGATCACATTACAGCTGTGATCTGTTGCCCCAACTGCCAAACTGAAGTTAGGAAGCCCTTAACTGCAATAACTCCTGTCCAATTCATCTCCCATTAGCATTACTGTACATTTCCCATGGACTGTTTTTGAAAGGCATTCAGAAGGTACAGCAGGTACATACCACATTAACATTAGAGAGGTTCCTTCCCTCTGGCCATGATCCACACCCTCCATTCTTACTTTGTTTGTAAGGAGTAATGGAAGCACTGACCTATTTCACGCTTCTTATTATCAATGGAGACGAAGCATATGCAGGGATTATTGGAGATGTATTGTACCGCCCAAGGAGCATCAAACTGGGTGCCAGCTTCATAGAAAAGGCCCAGAGCATAGCGAGAGGAATAGCTCACAGATTCCAGCTGCTGCCTCCAACCTTTGTTAATTACTGTGAAGGAAACAAAAATGAGGCAATTATTTTTCTCTTGGAGCATTAAACCTGCAAATAATACTACGGTTAATCTACTTAATCCCTTTTCTAAAATAACACTTCTGTGTTTCAAGAAAAGGCCGTTCACATTGTTTAACGAACTCTCCCTTCCACCAACCTAGCTTTTGTTATGGCTGCACAAATAAGTGTCAGAGAATTTCCAAGTCAGGAAATAAAGGCAGAAGGTTATAGGTGGCCATCATTAAAAAAAAAAAAAAAAAGGACGATTAAGGAACCTCACAAAATCGCTATGTCTGTGCTGGCAGGGGCTTCTGTGAGTTGTAATTTCTAAACATCTGTCAAATGCCAAGTTGTGAAAGCCTGATCTAAATGCTCACTAAATTAATGAGAGATCAAGTTTTCCACTCAGGAATCGTTCCCCCATTTCATCCCAAAAGCTTTCAACTTTCTCAACCACATTCTCAATTTGCAAGTCTATGTGCATGTGTGCATATGCAGAGGCTATGGGAAAGGCAATTTTCTTAACATTTGGAAAAGGTTTCTGGAACAGAGAGATAATTTTACCAGATCTCCTCTTCTTGTGACAACAGTAACCCCTCAACTACAGAATGCATAAACGATCAAAATAAAACTGCACCAGCATGTTAAGGTTGAAAAGCACTACCATGACTGAACTCGGCCAGTATGGTATAGTAGAAAGGATGATGGACTCACACTGGGGAGACCAAGGTTCC